GGGCGGTCCATCGGACACCTGCGCATGTGGCCTTTAAAGGGCTCACACTGACATACTTGCTTTCTGTACGTTTTGCGGTCAGTGATGATCTCCTGCTTCTTCGCCCTTTTGTCCCAGGCCTCTGGCGTCTTGGTCTTGCCGCCCTTGGTACGGATTATCGCGCCAGTCTCGTCCCTTTTGGCACAGTATTCCTTAGAATACCAGTGCCGAAGAGTATCCATAGAGTAGCCGGGGTACCATTGGATGTACCAATCCGGCACCTGCTGAGCAGATACTCCAACGGAGTGCTCAGTGCTGTATGGATAGCCCGATTCATCATGCGTAGGGCGTCTAGGAGCTGAGCGGCTCCTTCCGCGGGCTGGCCCCGCTGACGCACTACCACGTGTCACTGGCCTTTGATCGTCATGCTCTGAGTCTCGGGGAGGCGACGGTCGCCTGTCCCTCTTGGCGTACCGCATGTCCTCCGAGTCCTCTGAGCTGTCCTGGACCATGAACACGTTTTGATACGGGCTTCTGAAGTATCCGATGTCATTTAACTGCTCCATCGAGAGGTCGTTAATGTTCATTTGATCGCAACCTTGCATGAATACATCCATAGACCAAGCGGGTGGCCCCGCTGTTGTGTCTAGCATCTCTTCGGCGGGTGACCCCGCTAGAGCTTGGAGTGCTTTAAGCATCTGAGATGCTGACATGTTCGAATCCAAGTATGGACGTAGACGGGCAACTCCTGGGTGCGACAGCAGTTCGTTCATCGTCATCTGCTGCTGTGCTGGCGCACTCAAGAGTCGGATTGCTTCTGAAACCTGCTCTTGGAGCATGTCGTTATAATCTTCTTCGGATTCTTCGGAGTCGGAATACGCGGGATGGCCCCGCATTTCGTCATCGGCGTCTCCCATCTCCGAGCCAGCCCACGACGGATTTGGCAGCAACGGCATGCCAATCACTTGTGGGGCCAGCGCGGCGGTGAGTTCTTCCTCTGTTGCCGGGACAGTCTCGGCTTCGGAGACCTCGTCACCGGCGGGTGGCCCCGCTGGAAGACCGAACCAAGCATTGTACGCAATCTCATCGACCTCGTCCCAGCCGTGGAACTCGTCGAAGAGGGTCACTGCGTAGTCTTCCAGGGCCACAGTTGCTTCAGCATAGCGGGCCATCACGTAATACGTGGAGGAGCCCGCAGCGGGAGCCGCTTCTGGATTGACGTAAAACTCGTAGTCAATGTAATCTATGTCATCCATAAAAGAATTTTGAGCCAAGTGTACGGATCCCTTTCCTTTCCCCTTCGGGCATTGATCGCGCAAATGCTCTGTGCTACCGCATGTATGACACTTCATAGTATTACCAGAAGCGTCCCTAGGGTTGCCCCTCCGCCCCTTTCCCTTACCGGAGGTCCGCCTGTGACCCCGACCTTTGCCTCCGATAAGAACTTCTTCAAAAGCCATATCAGTTAAGGACGTGAGGAAAGCAGTAATACCCCTACCATGCATACGGCGTCTGCGACCCCCTTTACCACGACCCTTTCCAAATTGTTTGAAATGTCGGCGTACTGCACGTCTCACTTTTCTGACTGGTTTCTTCATAAAGCGCCTCCAACGGCGTTTTGATTTGCGATAAGCCATAAAGGCGGCTTCCGCCCTTTGCTGTTCAGAAAGGTGAGTGTCGTCCGCTGGATAGTCATTACCAGCAGAGACTATTCCATTGTGCTCATCGTCAGATGAAGTATCTGTGTCAGTGCCAGATTCAAACGGTGAGGGTGGCTGAGACCATTGAGCGGATGACTCCGCTTGGCCCCAGAGGGTTGTGCCCGAGGGCGGGCTTGCAGTGTAGGCGGCGCCTGGCGAGTAGTTCGACCAGGCGTTTGCCTCAGCTGCCTCTGCCGATACCTGGCCGGTCTGCCCTAGAAGGGCAGTGGCCTCGTTGGGCATATCGGCTGGGTCAGCCCAGGGATTTGGCTCGCCAGGACCAGCGGGTGACCCCGCAGTCGTGGCGTAAACACCTGCATGTGAGTGGTGCCCTGTGAAGATACCCGCTATGTTACCAGGAGAGCGCTCGGCAACATGTCCGTAGTTCCTCATCCTGGTCAACAGCCTGTCATAGTCTGCTTGTGTTCGGGGCATCTGATGATTGAAGGGCTCAAGCAGGTGTTGGGCTCGTGACGCGCCAACGCCTAACGCTCTGAAGAGAATCAGCGTTAGGATCTGAAAGTTGGGGATGACAAAGCCAACAGAGTTAGCCTCGTCACGGGCCATCTCGAATCGAGCTAATACTGAGTCGATTCGCTCGCCCCTTTCGACGCGGAAGTCGATAAGGGCCGTGCCAGAGTTGAGCTGGCGCTCATCTTCCAGATTTTCAAATTTGGTGCTCAGTAAGTACAGTATGTAGGTTACTGCATCCGTTGGCTGTCCATTGACAGTTACACCATAATTGATGATCTGGGAGGGGACCTGCATGGCGATACGACGAGCCAGACCTTGAAGGCCTCGTTGTAGTGCTGCAGCTTGTTGTGGTGGTGTCATATTGCCGCTCGTTACGTTTAACCATGCATGTACTTCGCGAACATATTCGCGAAAAGGCGTAGTACCGGCAGGGTCCCATGAAGGGCCAGTAGTACGCGTGTCGTCCATCCCCTGCCGCATGTATCCCACAGCACATCCCATTATTACCCACAGAATGCCGAAGATCGTTATTTTGATCCAATGCATGTGCATTTCGGCTTCGGTGATTGGTTTGGGCTGTGGTTTGTCAGGCTCTGGCGTGGTAGCCGTGAGGCGCCTGACCGGCACGGGATGCAGGTGGCCCCGCTGCGGGTAGCCCCGCAGGGTGACCACGTTCTCGATCGAGTTGCCGATTGGCATCTGGTGGAAGTCGGGAGTGAAGTAGCGCAGTGAAGTAGGAGAGAGCGTCTCGAGTTCGCGGGTTGCCCCGCTAGCTCGATCGCGGACTGGCTCCGCTCCTCGCAGAGCCGGCGCAACATGGTATTCCACCGTAGTAGTAGTCCACCAAGTTGTGCCGTGGATTACAGGAATCAGAGCGAGAGCCAGCCACACGAGAGTGTAGCCAGCTCCGCTACCAAGTCGAAAACAAGCTGGTAAGCTTAGGTATACAGTCCGCCTTAGGCGCTTCCATATCCCAGGCTTAGGCTCATAGCGCATGAGCAAGAGAGCGAGACGAAGCATGGGATCTGGAGTAAAGAGTAAGATGGGCATCGTCAATGGAAAGGATGTTTTCCGATCTCAGATGCAAGTAGTGCGCCTCAGTGAGGCACAGTCACATATCATGCCGGGCCCGGCTTGAGCCAGGCACGGCAGCGGTACATGCTCGATTTATATCTCGCCTTTAACCTTCTCCGTTTAAAGTCGCCGAGCCAGAAGAAAGGGTTCCAATTTCTTCTCACGCAGACCCCCCCCCAACCGCCCACCCGCGCGGTGGTCGCGTTGCGATACGCCTGGGTGTGCGGCGTCGTTTGACGTTCGTCGCCCGTCGATCGCAATTCGTCGTGATTCGCCGTTCGTCGTTCGTCGTTCGTCGTCGTCCTGGTCCCCGTTCGTTCTTCGTCGCTCGTTCTTTGTCGTTCGCCGTTCGTCGTTCGACGTTCGTCGTCGTCGTTGTCGTTCGTCGTACGTCGTCCGTCGCCCGATTGTAGTCGTTCGTCGTTGGGCCGTCGGCAACCGTCGCCGTTCGATGCCCCCAAAGACCGCCCAAGAGGCCCAAGACGGCCCCAAGATGCCCCCAAGACTGCCCAAGAGGCCTCCAAGACGCTCAAGATGGCCAAGACGGCCCAAGAGCCCTCCAAGACGTCCTCCCAGAAGGCCCGAAAGGGTCAAAATGGCCTCCAGACGGCCAAGATGACCTTCAAGATGCCCACGTGTTCCCCGGAAGCTTTCCAAACCGATTCGGGGAACACATGGTCCGATAGCTTGGCAGATCTGGCCTAAACGTTCGGCCACATAGGCGCTTCCAACAAGGCAGGGGGCGGCGGTGATTCGCCGTAGGCGACTTCGATATTGCACATCATAAGCTGCTTGAACCACATTGCTTGGGGTCCACGCTGGCCAGCATACATATATGCATGCGGGTAAACAATGTATGGAGGACTCGGATATCGACGACGCGAGAAGAAACAGGACACCGATGACGAACACGAGGATAGCGAACAGGATGACGAGGAGAACGAAGAGCATGGGGGAAGGATGGAGGAGGCTGGGGACCCAGAAGACCCCCCCACGTGTACTGAACCGTCCGACTGCCTGCCCGCGCCCCCGACATTCGCCATCGTCTGCCTCCCCCTGCAGCATGAGGAGGTGAGGGATGACTGGGAGGAGTTGCCTCCACCCCACCACCTCCTTCTCATCCTCCTCGCTCTCGTCCGCCATCTCCTCCCGCCTCCATCGTATCCTCTTTCCCACTCCTCGTCCTCCTTCTCCTTCTCGCCCCCCCAAAGTTTCCGTTTCCTCCCCCTCCTGCTCCATCGCCTTCTACTCATCATTGCGCCTCATTCCTCCTGCTCATCCTCCTTCTCCTCTTCATCCTCCATCCTCCCCGTTCATGCCCGCCATTACCCCCATCACGTCGTCCATCCTGGTCCGTCCCCCTTGTGTCCTTACTATCCCTCCTGACCCCCTCCTCCGTCCCCCATCCTCCTCCTCCTCCTCCTCCTCCTCCTCAGAAATCAAGGCTCGGCGAAGCAGGTCACGGCTTACAATGTTTAACACTCCCTGGAATCAGAGGTCGCCCTCAAGCTTGGCGGACCACCTTCCAAAGCGTGAGCTGGATGCCAGGCGCCACCCCTCTGCGTAGTCTTCTTGACTCGGAGGTTTGGGCGGCGGGGGCCTGGGCAGGGCACCGACAGCCTGACCCACCTGCCCGTGCGCAAACCCACCCACCTGGTGTAAGAAACTCTTGGGATCCTGCTTCCCTCGATCCCATGTATTCCTCAGCATACTCTGCTCCTTCCCGCTCCTCCTCTTCATCCTCCTCCTCCCCCTCTCCTCCTCCACCCTTGTCTACTGATCATCGGCATCATCGCTCCCTTCTCCGAGTTATGCGTACAGACACCATTGGTCCCAGCGCCAAGTCCGCCGAAAGCTCTGAAATTACATAGCGCGAAATAAGTCGAATTGCAAGGAACCAGAAGCATCATCATGCTCTGAGCACTGCCTGCACTCACGCGCTACCATTCCAATCATATCACCCTCCCATCACCCACCAACTATTATCTAATTCATACATTGCTGCCTGTCAGCCAGTCTACACAAACAACCTCCCACCATTGATGGGGGCAATCACGCAGGGGTGCGCTTTGCGCGCCCCTTGAAACGGATGTAGTTGGAGCATTAACTGGAAGGCTTGATTTGCCGCCAGGATGCACGAAGGGCGGATCGTTAGGCAAAGGTAGACGGGAGGGCGGGAGAATGGGAGGCGAGGGAGAGGAGAAGGACACCAGCAACTTCCGCGGCACAAATACAATATACCAAGAACCTGGAACACACACACACACACACGACCGGATTCACATGCTCACAACGCGGAGTCCACTGACTGTGTACGCATGTAACACGGAGGAGCAGGGTACCTGGCCATAGACGGGCCGAGCGCGGGAAAGACAGACATCTGGCCACATGTGTATTCAACTCTCGCCCAGGCCAGCCGCGTCTATATGTGTCCAGCTTCCTGGTCGGAAGCAGGATGTGCTGCGCGCGACTGCTATCAGCGGAGAAAGCGAAAGCCTGGCTATTCAGTTCTGAAGCGAGCCGCAGCCCACGCTGCTGCTGCACACATCACCAGGTCGCAGCGCTTGCTTGGAGCCTCTGCGGCCCACGGCCCGCAGCCGAGGCAGAGGTTCTCGCAGCACCAGTCCTTCTTGCCTCGGAGGCCAGCCGCTCACTCCACGGGCTCCGAGGCGACACCCTGGCCCGGCGCAGCCTCGGCCTCGGCGTCGGGCACGCTGGGCGAGGCCGGCACAGCCTCGGCCGACGCGTCGGGCAGAGCGGGCGAACCCGGCGCAGCCTCGACGTCCACCGCGGCGTCGGGCACGGAGGGCGGGCCCGGCGCAGCCTCGGCCGCGGCGTCGGGCACGGAGGGCGGGCCCGGCACAGCCTCGGCCGCGGCGTCGGGCACGGAGGGCGGGCCGCCGCCCGGCGGGGCGTCCGCGCAGCCCGACTCCTCGAGGCCGCAGACGGTGCACACCGGGCAGTCCTTCAGGACCCTATCGAGGGCGCTCTCGCAGGACCCCGCCTGGCCCGGGAAGTCCTCGGTGGCCACGGTCTGAATCCACTCGCCGCACGTCTTCATGGTACCGTCGTCGTGGACGCAATTTGTGGCACACGCTGGCAGATGCTCGGCGGATGTAGGGCCTGGACACCCTTTTCCAAAGTTGTCGCAGCACCATCGCTGCTCGCCAGGAGACCAAGACTCCTGCCACGTCTCGAAACCCACGTCGCAGTCGTAAGGAAATTCACTCTTTTTTTTCTCGCAGTCCGTCTCCTCCAGGGGGCACTCCTTGCAGACGTTGCACTCGGTAAGCACCTGCGTGTGGGCCAGGGAGCAGACCTCGGCCTGCCCGCGGAACTGGTGCGTGGCAGAGTACTGGACGCGCTCGCTGCAGGTCAGGGTGACACCCTTGTACTCGCACTTTGCGTCGCAGATGGATGGCGCATCCGGGCAGCCACGGCCATAATACTTGCAGCAATAAAACTGCTTGTCACTGTTCCACTTGGTCTCCCAATCGTCGAAGTCGGCCGCGCAGTCGTGCTTGGGCGTTGTGGTCTCTTCAGGGGGGCATCCTCGCCCGTAGTACTTGCAACAGTAGTACTTCTTGTCGTCGGACCAGCCCGCGTCCCAATTCTCAAAGCCCTGCGCGCAATCAAACTTTGTCCCGTCCTTCGGCGGCTCCGGGATATCATCGGGGATGTCGTTCGTGGGCTCCCTGCGGTGTCGCCCTTTCCCTGCTCGCGGCGCCGGCGCCATCGGCATCATTCCCGTCTCAGTGTCCTCCTTGGGGGACTCGGGAAGGTCGAGCCCATCCTCAAATGCCATCGCCCTGTCCTGTGCGGGCTCGAGCTCTGGCGGCTCTGGCAGGGTACGCGGCCCGAGCAATGTGACTCTCGCCTCTCCGGCGTAAGCCTTCTCAGTCGGCGTGCGAACAACGAGCTTGGGCTCATCCGCCGTCTTGCTCACGGCGGTGATCTCCTTCTGCTCGCCAGGGGGGGCGCCGAGATTTTCAATGAGGATGCTGTCCCCGACGGCGAACCCCCTGTACGTCAAGACTGGGAGCTCGGTCACCCCTGCTGGGATCTGGCCCCTCACAGTGGTGAAGTGGTTGGACTTTGCGAAGCCACTCTCGATGCCAGTGTCATCATCCACAGCGTCCTCCACCTGTACAATGACGATGTTCGAGCCAGACGGGTAAGAATTAGCCCACGGCTTCTCAAGAGTGATCACTCCGTCTTCCAATGCAGCAATAGTCCCGGTTTCGGAGGTCGCACCGCTACTGATGGTGACAGTGCTCCCGACGACAATGCCAGTCGTCTGTTCCAGCATCAGCGTCTTCCCCCCTATCGTAACAGCCTCGCACGTCTTCGTGCTCACCTTTCGGCTGCACGCAAGACTGACCCTGGGCAAGTGTGACCTTCGGTGCGCGGCTTCGGGGGGGGGCACGTCCAAGCGGGCAAGCCAGTACTGGGGGGACCCCTGTCGGCCCGCACCCAAGGCCGCTCCGACGAAGGGTTACTCTTACGCGTAGCCGAACCTTGTCGGGAGCTACACCAGTCACCACCGGCGCATCGGGGGTAGCTTCGCTCTCTGGACTCGGCGCAATCAGATCCCTCGTGCACACTGGGTTCGCCAGCCCAGGACTGCAGGTTGTCCCCGCGGCGCATGTGCCGGTGCTGCCATCGAGGAGGCAGTCATCGCCCTCCGCGAGTACCTTCGGCCATGGCTCGAAAGGCGACGGAGTCGATGACGGAGCCGTCGCAGGCGTGGCGCTCGTGCTTCCAGGTTGATCAAGAAGACCCTGAGCCCCTTTGGTGTCGATAAGCAGGCAGTTCCAGCGGGTTCTGTGCTGCGGCGGGTCCTCCAAAAATATGCCAGGGCTGCAGGACGTCCTGCATCCTGCCCAGTGCTCATTCTTCTCGAAACACCTCATAGACTGGTTCACGCAACACTTGGTTTTGGTGCAATCCTTCCCTGCAGCGGTGCAAACCCCCGTGCTTCCGGCACCGTCTTGGAGACCCTGCGTGAAATTCCCAGTGAGCTTACCGATGGGATTGATGTCGTCTACTGATCCTGCGCCTGGCAGCAAGCTGGGCAACACGTCTGTCCACAAGGTCTCGAGATAAGAGGCGAAAACCGTGAAGAGCACAAGCAACACTGCGCTGCAGAGGAAGAAAAGACAGCAACTCCGCAGCCGCCATCCGTAAACGACGTGTTGGCTGAAGTAGTCCTTATCGTAGGAGCCAGCGCCCTCACCGACGTAGTTGTACGTCTCTACCTTCTCGTAGCCGCCCTTGCCAGCGCCCACGTACGACCAGTTCGGCTCCACGAGCTCCGGCTTAAAGCACATGCCCCTCGTTCCGCCCCACCGGCTATCCTGGTCGCAGCACCCATCCCCACGGCCAGGAGCCATCCTCGTGGTGCTCGCCATCGGGGCGCCGCCGCCGAAGCCCACCACGCTGGAGCCCATGCTCGAGAACATGGCGGCCCCGAGAGGCCCCCCGCGCGGCGGCTGCGCTGCGGCGGCGCGCGGGCGGGGCCCCGCGCAACCCGCCCTGAGCCACGACAGCTGCGGAAACCTTTTCACACGCAGTTGCAAGAGGAGCTCTACCACCGGAAACCTTCCACAAGAAAGCCAACCCTGAAACCCTGGGATGTGAATTATTTCTGTATGGGAACGTCACGCAACCCAAGAAATCCAGCGCACCCGGGAGGCAAGCAGGGTATTTCTTGGCATGGGTTTCCACTGTGCTCAATCTGAGCACTGGTCTCCTCTCTCCCCGGATCCTGTCCGAGCACGGCCCTTTTTCTCACGCGTACGCTTTTCTTATTACGCACGCTATTTGGGAAGGTGGATTGTGATCCGTTGGGTGAGGTCCAGGTCCGCCACGACACCCGTCGGCGGATAGAGAGAGATCAAGGGGAAGGGATGGGTGAGGGGGTATCCTGTCAGATATGGCGCGAGCTCACCCAGCCTGTCCTCCTCCTCCCCCCTGCGCCCCCCTCGCCCTCCGCCAGATCCCTTTACGTCCCGATACTCCTCCACGTCGACCTTCGAGCTGCGGAGCGATGTGTGCGAAGCACGGGGCCCTCGGCCCAAGGGGAGGGGCCGTTGAGGGGCCTCCTCCTGGCCTGCGCCAGATGGAAGGGAAGAAGACTTGGCAATCTGCCGTGAGGGGAATGCGCGCCTTGGGTGGCGGCTGCGGCCCGATCCGCACTCGCGGGAACTCATTCCCTAACGCGCTTGCACTCGGCAAGAAGAGCCATTATTGGGGGCCACGCGTGAGCTCGGCCCGGATCCCGCCTGGCCTGGGTGTCTGGTGTCTGGTGTCTGGGGTTTGGTGTTGTGTGTTTGGGGTTTGGGGATTTGGGCTCTGGTGTTTGGGTTTCGGTGTGTTGGTGTTTGGTGTTTGATGTATGATGTTCAGTTCATGGCTCTTGGGGTTTATCGATTGGGGTTTGGTGTTAGGGGTTTGGTGTCTGGGATTCGGGTTTGGTATTTGTTGTTTGGTGTTTGGTGATCGGTGCTTGCGGCTGGTGTTTGGGGTTCGGTGCTTTGGGCTTGGTGTTTGGTGTGTGGGTGTTTGGTGTTTGGCGTTTGGGGGTTGTTGTATGGTGTTTGGTGCTTGGGGTTTGGGGTTTGATCTTGGGTGTTTGGTGTTTGGTGGTGCTTGGTGTTTGGTATTTGGTGGTTGGTGTTTGGTGTCTGGTGTCTGGTGTCTGGTGGTGTTGGGGTTTGGTGTTTGGTGTTTGGTGTTTGGTGATGTTTAGGGTTCAGTGTTTGGTGTTTGGGGTCTGGTGGCGTTTGGTGATTGGTGTTTGGGGTTTGGTCTTTGCTGCTTGGGAGGGGTTGAGGTTCCAACTGGGGAATCACTCAACTTTACCAGGGAATAGCCCGTCCAACCAGGGAGTGGTCCGTCCAACAGCGGTATAAGAATTCGGCTCTTTCGACCCAGGAGCTGCGTCACCCTTATCCCACCCAGTCCAGATGCAACATGGCTCGTGCTCAAGCTCGAAAGCTGTTTCCCCCAAGACGCGAACCAACGATGAGCAACGCCACACACGTCTCACCCCGTGTAGTCTCCGACAGCTGGCGAAGAGTGCATGAGCTGAGGTAGAACATTCGGAAACAAAAACCAACTGTAGCAATACGTTCCCGCGTCCGTCGCGCCGGTGCCTCAATCCAATCGCGACTACACTGTAAACTGACGCGTGCGTACGCCATACCGGTCCAGACTGGCGGGGCTCGCGCATTGGCGCCCAACGCAAGTGGGGATGAGGCCGGACGAGGGAGGCGGAAAGAGGCCGAACGTGGTTGTGGTTAAATCCATTGCCATTTCAGTTCAAGCGGAGAGCTGAGTCCATGTAAAGCCCAGTGCTCCTTGGCAAGGGGAGCCCGCTTTTTCTCTTTTTTCACGTATCGAGTCGTCGTGACCCGTTTAGAAACAGGAAGTGCCCATTCTCTCGGAGTTTCGATTGCATTTCACTCCATGGCGACGGGTAATGACAAACGCTCATCTGCTGCCGAGGCAATACAAGCTATCGAAAGGGAGCCCAAAGTACCACGAGTCGGCGACGCAGCGGGTAGCAACGCTGTCGGATCGGCAGACTTCTTTCACGTGCTGAAGCTTCTGCAGCAGCAGCAGGACATCCTTCAGCAGCAGCAGCAAGTACAGCATGAACAATTGAGCTCGTTTTTGGAGGTTGTGAGAAGCTCGCAGGAGGCCAATGCGAAGATGATGAGTAACTTTCAGAATGTCGTTAGCAGCCTCTCGAGCGCCCAGAGCAGCACCGGCAGGGCAAGTGGCGGGGATGGAGGCCCCCCTGCTCGTCCCGCTGGGGAGCCAGCCGGCGTACCAGCAAGTGCCACACCGAATAATATTACGAAGTTCCCTGCGGAGTTGTGTAAAGCTTTGGATCGCATGGCGGGAGATTTTGAAAAACAGGTGTCCCGATTCGTTTCGATCCGCTCCCAGGTGGAACACAACAAGCGCGACATCCAGATCCTACAGCAGGGGAAGTATCCACCAGGAGTTCGAGCCTTCAAGAGTACAGCGTCTTTGGCTGAACTTGACGAGAAGTACTCCAAGGCGGCTGACGCGGTTTATGAGATGAAGGTCACAATCCCCCAGGGCAGCACCAGGAGGGAGGCCAAGAGGCTGATGCATCTTGGCATGAACCTGCATTTCAAAGAGATTGACGCGGAGGTGTTGAATGCTTCAGCGGACGGCCTGAAAGAGTTGTCTTCGAAAGCCAAATTCGCTTCGCTCTTCAACGAGGTGATCGCGAAGGCCTTCACGAACGGCGCCTCGGAGCTCGGCCTCGACGCGCCCATGCAGAAGGAAATCGAGCAGAATACGAAAACCCGCAAGCTGGAGGACATGTATGCCGATGTTGTGAATAGGGTGGAACGCAAAGAAGCCGCCCGCAAAGAAAAAGAAAAAGAAGCCCAGAGACAATCAGACATTTTAGATGAGGAGCTTGTGAATGCCAACCCCAATGCCTTGTTCCGCGATGCCGTGAAACACGTTGTCAACCAGGAGCTGGCTGCTCGCAGCGAGGATGACGTCATGGGCGCGCCCACTGATGCACCCTCGAACCCTGCTGCAGACAAGTTTTTGGCGAAGATTGCAAAAAACGGCGGCGGCCCCGGGTCAGGCCGGGGGCAACCCACGAAGTCCCAAGCAACCCTGCCCACCGACCACGCCAAGTCTGCGCACCCCAAGGGAGGCAAGGGCAGGGGCAAGGGCAAGGACAAGGGCAAAGGCAAGGGAAAAGAGCAGAGGAGCAAGAAGTTTTGGCGCCCATGGTCAAGACATCGCGCTCCGAAAGGCGATGGCAAAGGCAGAGGAGGTGGCAAATCAAAGAGTGGGCGAGGCAAAGGCAAGTAAAGAATCAGTCGCGTAGTGCGCGGAGGCTGGTCCATCTCATGGGCGATGCCCCCTTGCACGATTGGCTGCAAATAGGCAGGTTCGACTCCATCAAGGGCAGGGTCAAAATCTATACTGCTGATGGCGTTCTTGAGCCTCCCAATTCAATACCTTGGCCAGTGGTTTGGTTATTGGCGACGTTCAATCCAAAACACCGTTTCTGCACGAGCATTGCCCCACGTATTGATCGCTTACGTTCCTCAATTTGTGAATTCAAGAACAAATTGTTGTGGAGATGGTACTTTCGCAATGAGCCCAGGCGAGACTATATCACGTGCAAGTTCTGCCCGACGGCGGAATTCTCTCATATAGCACCTCCTCCTTTGAAGTGTTGGCTTAATCATCTGGGTGCATCTTTGCTTCATTCGGCCGCTCGCGCCGTTGCAGCCAAGAAGACAGGATGCAGGTACACCAACGTGTACCCGATGGTACGTTTGGCAATGCGTACGCTGCGAAGTCCTTCGTTCGAGTACGCAGCGGTGCCAAACGACAAGGAGGTTGGTTTCACGCTCATTCCGAAGGCCGTGAAGGTTGGCATCGACGAAAGCATTTTCGCCAATGGTAACTATATGGAGGCGGACGACGGGTACTGCGACATCACCCCGGTGGTGCGTAGATATCAACGAGTCTCTAAGAGAATCGGCCAGCTCGAGGATGACAGCTTGTACCGACAGCTGACAAGATCGTTGACTATCCCCGGGTCCTCTCTCACAGCAGTCTTGAAAATTCGGTGCAAGACTCACAAAGTACCCATAACCTTCAGACCAGTACACGCGCTCTCGCGGTATATGTTCGCAGGGCTCTCGATTTGGGTGGCCCGCAAACTGCGTTCGCATACAGCTTCGATGCGTTACATTGTCCGTGACGCTGCAGAAGCCGCTGAGCGATTAGGCGGTATGCTAGTCACCTCCACCTCGAAGTTCGCATGCATTGACGTAAAAGAGTTTTTCATGAGCGGGGACATCCACGAGCTGGCTGAGGATTGTACCATGCACTTGGATGGGGAGGCCCGCACGGTTACGCGTGAGGCAGTAACTATTTTGTTGGAGAACCAGTACGTCCGTAGTCCACATGTGGTTGGGCGATTCCGATGTGTAGTCGGAACTGGCATGGGACTCATACATAGTGGTGATGTCGCAGATTCCGCTCTTGTAAACATCATGGAATGCCATGTTGTTAGGAGGCGCATCATGAACTTGCACGCAATCATCACCTACATGAGGTTCAAGGATGACATCTTAATCGTATACAATGACTTTGTCTTGTTCTACCAGTTGTTCTTTCACCTTATGGCGGATCGGTCGAAGTATTTCCGCCTCAAGCTGGAAGGAGCCAGCGACAAGACAGTCAGATGGTTACAGCTGGAGGTATGCAAGTGGCAGAACATCGTAGTGACGAAGCCGGCGTTTAAAGACTCCACTCTAGCAATCCCCTTGTCGTGTTCCAGCGCCCACCCTCCTCACATACATCGTACGTGGCCCATGGCCATGTGGCGTTCTCTCGAGGGTTTAGGTTTTAGGGGACACGGCAGGGGCATAGCACAGAATTTGATGATAGATCGCTTATCCAGGGCACCTATCTTGGAATCGGTTTTGCAGAGAATTCGCACGGCCAGCCTAGATTCTATGACCGCCCGAGGGC